TTGAGGCAATCAGTTCCGGATTCGAGTCTTAGTGGGAACCATATCGCTCACTAGGAAGTGGATACATCCGTCTGGAGAGTCACAAATGGGACGAAATGTGCGTCTTGGACCCATTGCTAGCCACTGTTCACCATTATCATAAAAAACTGAAATGTCAGGCAATATCGAGGTATCTGCACAGCTGCCTATATGCCAATATGGACCGATCAATTAGGTCAAATCGATGACGGGATAATACAAGTAACATCATAAAATATTGTTGACACTCCATACTAGACTGTTTATTATGATTATTATTGTTATCTTATTATCATTACTTATTACTATCATTATTACGTTAATCTACCACAGTGCCCAGATTTCACCTTTACATTGTTGATAATCAACTTGATAGACTGAAAACTCAATGCAGCATAACGAAGGTCAATATGGACAGTAGGGTTTGTGAATACTTTTCACAATGTTCATCACATTTTTGAACTGCTCCAAATTTCAACTGGAGCTCACTTTTTAATAGTCACTGCCATATCGTCTTGTGACACTTTGAAATGACTACACCGAAAATTGTTACATCCTATTAAGGACTTGGCAACAACTGGATTTTTCTGTCTAATAGTGATGAGAGTTTTTCTTCACTGGAACTCAAAACTATAAACCTAACTGATCAGTAGCTCATGGAAAGTCAAATGCACAAAGCTGATAAGGGTCAAATAGGACGAAAACATGTACTGGATTTTACTCCTACCCGGACACAGTAAAAAATTAATCATCATCGATAGTTTACATTAGTAATTATGTAACAGTTTGACCATCTGAGTAAGATAGCCGTGGTTTATTAGACTTGTATTGATACTGGGTGATGACTGAAGATGGAAATGAAAATTTGATCTTAGTAGGCAGCCAGTGTGAGTACGATCCAGAGGCAGTAACACGTCATGAATTCACATGTAGTAGGATAAAATTCAGGTGACTGAAGTGAAATAAAAATCTGGTCAGCAGTCGGGTATTGTAGCTCAGTTGGTGGAGTACTTGGGCAGTAATTCAATGGTCACTGGTTCGGATCCCACTGCAGTCCAAATTTTCATTTCACCTTCAATCATCATCCAGTATCGGTAATTACATACTCAATAAATAGGTGATAAGAAGTCCAGTCATCAACTCGTATACTAGGGCAAATTTATTTGATAACTTCGTTTCTTACACATTCTTCAAATAATATACCAGCTGAATAAGGTAGATAAGACTTTCCAATTCACTCTAATGTAGACAAAATCTTATTCACAGACTCCTTAGGACAAGGAGGATACTCATCATCAAGTAGAACAACTTCTTCAGTGGCTTGGATGAATTAAGACGTCTGTTCACAACAGTGTAAATGAGAAGAGTTAGGGGCTAACTACTGATCTCTTTAACAGTCTTCAAATTTCACCAAAATAGTTCACAGTCTTTTCTTAAGAGCTCAGAAAGGAATGAGGAGGGGAATTTGGAGGTGGCTAGGCGAAATGTAGGATAAAATGCAAAAGTAGAGGAGAGGCTTGACAAGAAACTCGAAACTCCCGTATATAATAAAGAGTCATAGAACTGGAGCAGTTTTATCATGTCCTGTTCATATCTGAAGCCAAAATAACTATAATCTGACACTTTCAAGAACTAACCAGTAAAGTTCACAGAGTAGCTAGTTATTGATGAGTTATTAGTTAAGCTTTATAGATTTTCTTGAGGTTGTTTGATAGGTAGAAACGGACAACATAAAACAAGACATCATGCTATCTACATTGACTGCAATCAGGTCGTATGATACTCCATTTTCAAAGGAAAGGGAAATCATTAAGGGTCAGAAAACACTGGACAAGTGTTCCTCTCTGGTCAGAGACTCTTCACAAGTGCACATCCACAACTACTTATGAGACCGATAGCAGTGGTTTCATGTCTCATTCAACTAAGGAATCAGAATCCAAAAGTCCTCATTTTTCAACTCCTTTCATTTCACTATGCACATTGACCATCATTCAATGAAGTTAAACAGTAAACATTCCTACTACACAATTAATTAGTAGACTTAATAGACCTCAGATTCTCATCACAACTTCAAGAAAGCCATTTCGACGTAACTTATTATAGAGCAGTGGGTTTCTGCAAAATCGACTACTTTCGAAAACTTTTTATGCCTGGTAAATATCAACTAGGTCAGCGACGTAAACTCTGTTACATTGAATAGCCATGACCTCCAAGCAGTGGGTCCTAGATTCGAACCCGGCCCTCCCTACTTTGACCTGGACAACTGAATAACACACAAGTGTACATAGACTTATGCCAAGTAGATGAATGACATTATCTGGAAGTTTGGCTTACAATCTTTGGGACGCAATCCATTAGCAAAATCACTTGACTTTTAACCAGTAGGTTTTGGATTCAAACCCCAGGTAGCGTTGAAGTTTTACAACCAAGGTTGACAAACTTTCAAAAAGCAATAGTGGGTTAGCAAATAAGCAGCATTCTGCATAAGACATAGCCTTGAACTTGAGACCGATAAGATAACTTATCAGTATGAATTAAGCAAGTACATGAACGGAAATGCAAAGCAGAAAACAATCCCCCAAAATGCATAGATTAGGGAACCAGATTGCACTCAAGGTCACAAACAGCCAATCACATACTTCTGCTTGTAAACCAATTAAATTCAGTCATCGAAACGTCAACAGTGTCAAGCTCTAAAAAAACCTACCCCAATTTGGAGAACCAGATAGGATAACAATCCCCACAGACGCACACCAGTCTGTCTTTCAATATTTATTCAACTGCCGTTATAGAAAATTATCATTTGGTTGATCGTATAGGTTTGACCGTTTGAAGTTCTGAATTATTGTAGCCATTTAAGTAACCTACTTACCCGTGTGAACAGTTAACAAAATATTATAACAACCATTCCCACCTACGTAAAAGGTACAGACAGAAGGCCCAAGCATGAAAATAAATTACTGTTCAAAAAAATAGTTGGTTGTCAGTTCTAAATTGCCTTTAAGAGGGAAACTCAGAAGTTGGAAACATGGATCACTGGATTCCGACCTAGAGGCTCAATGGTAACGTGGTGACCACGAAACCTGAAGGTCTTGAGTCCGATCCCCAATGGGGTCATGGGTGCTCACTACCGAGGAGTCCAATACTAGGACAAAACGACTGTCCAGTGCTCCCAGATTTCCAGTGTTCCTCCAGCTGATGCCAGTCCATGTGAATACCAAACTGAAAAATTACTGAATCCCCACAAACCCAAATTAAATTCAAAACAAGTTTTAGCCCCCTTTAAATTACTTAAATGTTACTTTACAGACAGTGGTAATAAAACTCACCAAATAGAATACCATTTAGTGACGTGGGACATGTACAGTTACAAAAATGCATATTTTTCATTCTTTATTGTGTCTTCGGAGAAGATTACGATCCACTGATTAAGTTTTAAATGTGCAAGTTAAACTAGATGGCTTAAAACTTGCAAAATCATTCAGCAAGAAGTCCTGTTCTATCCACATTTCATGCTAAGTGGTGTTTAGCGAAGCTCGCCTGTAAGCTTTAAGAAGCTGAGACTTCTGTGATGAATCGAACCCACGTCATTCAGTGCAGAAGCTCAAGGCTTAACCAAATAGATGTCTTTGCTACTACTGACCCTGTGTAGGAATGGTTGATGTAGACGAATGAGCCTCCGAACTTTAGCAGATATGCATATCTAATCCTATTTGGTGACTGATATCCACTGGTTCCATTAAATGGACTGATATGATACGGTTGCGTAGTTCCTTAAATTAAGATGCTTGGAGTTCACCAGAGAAAACCCCTAAACTAAGGCTGAGGTTAGGAGAAAACTAGGTGCATTTGATCAGTATACCTTGATTCCTACCGAAAACTTGAAGCTTGCGCTAGAGAAAGCCATTACATGATCAATTTGAGTATATAATTCAGTCATACAGAGTACTGATTGTGTCAAGTTGCTTTAGTGGTAGGTTCTATGACTTCAATAACAACCGATACAGGTTCAAATCTCCGACAGAAGCATGAACATTCCAAGTTGGGGATATACGCTCTATCCTATCGACTGAACCTCAAAAAAGTGCAAATAATATTTCTGAATAATTTTACATTGATAATGTGGATCAATAATTTGAGTCACTGATACGTGACACATATGCCATTTCCTGCCAATTACTTTAGTGAATCAAAATAAATAGAATGAGAATGAAGTAAATATCAACATGAAGTGATTTGTATCACAAGTTCGTAAACACACAGAAAACGATCGCTCTGATTCAGCCAGCTGAGCAGTGGAGGTTAACATGCCTAACCAACAACAAATAGAGATTGACGTCAAAACCTAATAACCTAGTGGATAACTCTATAACATTTGCATTGGCTGGAGCTGAGTTCGAGTATCTCCCGAAATAAGATGTAACATTCTCCCTGTTGTGAAATTTAATAATAGACCATTCCTGACCACAAGATCTTTTCGGCAGTGCACAACCACGATCCAATGGTAGATCGAGTTCAACACTATCAGATAGAACAGCTATCACGTTACTTTTCAACAAATGGATTTGAATCCAATGGTCTAAACTTTTTCGTTTTTGTAGATTCACAATATAGCGCAAGCTTCGCCTTCAGCTTGAACTTCTATGGAGTTGTGGGTGCGCATGTCTGTGGAGTTGGAAACTGGGATGAAACACCTACCGAATAACTCTCAATGTCAAACACAGTGTGTCACAATGTTGCATCACTTACCACAGTGACTGAGTTACAAACTTTGATCGATGAACTTCGATCGGTGTTAAACATGAAGATTTAGACACCTACCTACCCATTGGTAACAAATTCACGTTGGATGGGAAGTGTGAACATTTCAAAACAATGATGCTCTGCACATACATATACACCCAATAAAGGCATCAACAAACATTAATTCTTCATCACCCAGCGATACAGCATGCAAAGATAAGAGTGAACGAACAACTTACCATCAGAGCTCGAATCCATGTACATTAGATAATTATTTACGAATGTTTTTACAGATATTTTTTATGTCAAAATAATAATAACAATGATAATAACAATAGTTAGTCGCTTTAAGTGATATCTTTAATCGAAATCGCAGTGTTTTCTCATTTGTCTATCGTAGAAATGAATGGAAAGTTGTAGTGATCTGTTCAAAAAACTGATCTCTCCATATAATCAAATCATTGAAAATAGTTTCACTAGCCAAACGCACTTATTATACGTGCACACATATACAAACAGACAAATGTGAACCGAAACAACCGCTGCACAATCATTCATGGTTTACACAGACAGAGTGAACAATCAGTTCACACACAAAGAAAAAACATACACAGGCACACTCATCCAGCTGTATGTTTTTCACACCTCCACAATCATCCGTTCGCCCTCACTTTGAGCATATTAGATAAGACTGACAATGATGATGGTGGTGATAATACAGACGGTGATGTAAAGACCACCAAGGCGAAACTAGCATAAATGAATCAGATATCATCGTATATACTCACTTCATCTATTGACGACTCTGAAGCCGGTAATGTGTAATGAGACTTTGTATTTGCAAGTGTATGTTTCTGTATGTCTGTGTGCACACGTGCGTATGTATCAATGGATAGATGAATTCATAGACGGGTATGAATTCTGGTAGCCCCCACTGAAACAATAGTTCACATTTCTCAAACTATATTTGTAGAGTAGTGAAAAATATTTTCAACCTTTATAGTTTTGCATTTTTTTTACTCTACTGTCACGTCATTTTTAAAAGAGAAACAAGGGCCTAAACACTTATATGAAGGCGCTCACTTACACACATACAAACACATCCCCTATTATCACAAACCACATAAAAAGGAGTTTAGTGATTACCTTCAGTGAAAAAGAAACAATCAAGCCTTTTTCATCACACTGTTTGACAATGCTCAACATTATTATAATGGTAAAACATCACAAAGGAAAACAATGTAAATATTCACTTAAACAAAAACACCTTTGTTTGTTTCATTCAATAAATTCTGTGAATAATTTTTATTTGAACATACTTTCTAGTAGACACAAAATGGTATGGTGTGATGATAAATCACCAAAATAGTATCATGTGACCAGATTCTAATATTCTAATCATAAAGTCCGCATTTAAAGGCCTGATAGTAGCATATTTATTTACTCTCATGATGACGAATCCAATGATTCAAAATATCCATAATTTTATTGATCCTAATTATTGATTAGAGTTTAGTCATGTTTGTTGGATAGAAAAAATCGGCAGAAAGCCTTGGACCCTTTTGGCACTCGTTAGCAAGGCGTTTATGCAGCCTTCAGGGGACTGAGATTCCATTCCACGTCACCTAGTACTGCATTCACAGACATCACCAGTAAGCTAATCTGAACTTGATTGACCTTATGTAAGATTGGGTTAGGTGAATTGGTTGGTTACCGGAGGGCAAAAAAAACTTTATAAAGTCTAATCCTAAAGGGCTGATCAAATACTATCATTTTGCTTATTCACTCACGCATAGCTTGTAATTTCCCGTACTTAGATTCTAGTCCTAGTCACTATCTATCATCAGTACTCACTTATACTTATAAAATTGTAAATGAATGTGCGTGCGTCATGCGAGAATTGGCTAACAAGATAACTCTCTGACATTCGAAGTGGTCGGTTCTTGGTTCGAGCCCTAATGGAGACAACATCATCCAATCAGCTTACGAATTTCAAACAGAACAAAATATCCATCCTGAATTCCACTTCCAGCCGCTAGCTAATATAAGTAGGCAGTTATACTCTTAAAATCGTGTTTGAGTGTCTTTGTGTTTAGGCGTTTGAAGCCCATGAGACAGTTTTACTACAAAACGCTTTGATGCTAAGGTGCGAAACAATCAAATTAGATTTTGAATATTTTCATCTAACTTTGGCATTCTCTGAAGAGTAAACGTTGATGGGACTGCTGTCACTTCGCTATCCATGAAATCTTTACTTGTTCTAGATCGTCATGCTGTTGTGGTATACATAATCTAACAGAATAAATGTTCCGTTTGAAGAACAGATTAGTCTGAATGACCATATTCTAACTCACAAGTATTTGCTTGAAACTTAATTCTTTGCTGAAAAAATATGCTTATTTAGAGTCAGTGAGTTCAAAAGACGTTTCTGCTGAACACATCTTACCCAAATCAATACCCCCTTCTCTTCAGGCAACTTAGAATTATATGTCTGACTGATGGATTAAAAAATAACTATTTATTATGAAACAATGAGTTCGATACGAAATTGAAATTGGCCCTAAAAATGACTAGGTGGATAGTACTCAAACGAGTAGCGGAGTTATAAATGTCATACTGTGAGTCCAGCTTTACTCCTGGACTGAAGACTAAGTGATTCTCAATTGCCTATTATTATCATTATGTGTCCCTTGGGCTCCTGGTCGAACATAGGGCTTCAGTAACAGGTAGCCATATCACTCTCTTCTCTACAGTCTTTCCAATCTGGCTCCACGACTGCTTAGAACCTCTCCTTTCTTCCTCACGCGATCTCCACGCCTAGTTTACTAGTTCACCAGTTTACCAGACGGTCCTAAGCCTGGATAAAGAGAAAAGGTTGGGTGTGGGGCAAGCTACCCTACCCTGAAAAATCAATCCAATCGCTAAAGAAACTTCAAAGCACAGACGAAATATAAAAAATAAAAATAAACTTATTCCATGCTGGAATCGGGGAGACGAAGTCACACAGGTTGGTGAAAGCCTTCGGGAAGCCGATTAGCTGACGTGTCCTCTCTTGATGAAAGCAAGTGTGGATGGGAGAACATGTACCTAAATAGCTGCAAAACCAGATGGAATGTAAAACTTTGGTAAGTACAGATGGGAGATATCCATCTTCATACGTAGAAACGCGTCATAAAAATGATATTCAAACAGCTTTGGAAGTAATATATAGAAACAGTCAGAGAAGCATACTGAGACTTCTAGAGGTGATAGCCATACACATATTAATGCCATCTTTGTATGTTCAAAACAATTTGTTCTTCACCGTCAGTCATCACTCAGTATCAATACAAGTCTGCCAAACAATGGCTATCTTAGATAATTAAACTAATAATTTGTTCTTACACCACATCCAACTTGATAAACTTTGTTTTCTTACCAATATTAGGACCCATTATATCACTCTTCCTTTCTGTGTTCATCTTTCTTAATTTTAATCTCCTATTATCTAAACTGTTCCAATTGTCCCCTATTTTTCGGTTTTATTTAAACTCAATCACATCGGTATTCACCACTGACTTACACCAGTTAGAAGAACATTGGAAGCCTGGGAGCACTGAGCAGCTGTTTCGTCCCAGAATGAGAATCGTCAGCAGTGCTTACCAGTGAATCCGTCAGGGAAGGAACCCAGAACCCTCAAGTGCCGTGGCCAGCAAGATACCATTGGACCGTCGCATTGGAACCCAATAATCAACATTTCCTACTCATGATATAAACAATATAAAGTGAGTTGACAAGTGAATGTGTGATCAAACTGTTCAAAATATATTGCACAAATGTAACATATTGTTTAGATAAACTTCGACCTCCAATTGTACTATGTAAGTTTATAAAAGGTACTAACTGTTCCAAAAGATAATTTCAAGGTTTCTGAGAGAAATGGGGAGCGCTTATGTATACTTCCGTGCAATCCCTTTCAAATTACCTCATATTACACCTAGGGAATCCTAAGTAGTCAAAATGTAGCCGCAGGAAATGAACTAAATCAGCATCAAACAGCATTTGCGATTAGTGCATGGCCTTGGTAAGGACCACATATAACCTTCTTTAAGCATAATTCTGCTGAAGCTAGTACTACGAGTCGAGATAATAAGCAGCTTGGCATTTATAACATGTCAACAAGAAGATATTCAACATAGACTTACTTCATTTCCTTTCCCGGAATCATTTGCTTAACTTGGGGACTGTACAGTGTATGGTTCCACTGCATGTGACCAATGATGCAAAGATACTTATGATCTAATACTTTTAAGTTTGTTCATTTCATCAGCCGTCAACGGCCATCTCAAACATTAGTACATTATGATATATCAGACTGCTCAGAAAAATAGTGACATTCTGATCGACATTCGGATATTGAGTACTTCGACATGAATTTCCTGAAGTCTTAGTCAAAAGCCATGATCTGTGAGGCGAACTAGGTTGGACGTGAGGATGAGTAATAGCATGGGATGATGGTCGTGAGATATAGTGAAGTGAAGTTCATGTTGAACAAAAGTCTAAATATTTCCTGAAGTCCGTTTACTGGGAAGAAAAATGATGGTGTGCAAAGGTTGCTTTCTTTCTTTCAGCTCTTATCAGTAAAGTGTATCAGTAAACCTGTAAGAAATCAAGCTCCTTATGTAGTAACTACTAATGAAGTCACTTAGTCGGATGGTGAGACTTTCAGAAGTAAACCTCAAAGGTTGGAAGACACAAAGGAGTTTTCACTTGGTATATCACTTCATGAAACGAAATAACATCACCCAAGGTTGCAATCAAAAACATTACCACTGAACTATTCCAGCTAAAAAATGATCTCTTATGTAACTGAATAAACTCCGTCCATCTCTTAGAACTGGATAACTTGGTATTGATAACTTTACAGTAACCGATTAGTGTATTTACTCCAATCTGGCAGGAGACCAGTTATGGCCTAACTACTTCATCGAAAACCGCATCACTTAAAAAGTGTCTGAATCTCTGAAATGGTATCAGTTATTGTGAGGTTGTAGATAAAATTTACTAACAAATGCTAAATAGTACAAACCACGGAATGGACGGTGTATCCTAGCTACTTTCTTTAAACACACTATATCAGTCTATAACATGTAATTTGCTCATCTTACATCAAAGTGGTGACTCATCATTCTGAACATTTATTTTCAAAGTTTAACAACCACCTTACTACAATGAAGTCAGCTCAACCCGAATACTTGAGTTACGTATAAATATCAGAAAATAGTTTATCGCTTTTGACTGATTGACTGACTGAGCAACTCTGATTTCAATAAATAAACAGTCTCAGATGTGTCGACAACAAGAACTACAAATCTTATATACTATTCCAGGAAAATATAAACTATGTTTGTCCCACAAAAAGTGTCTGCCAATGCTCAGTAACCTAGTGGATTACGCTCAGATGTATCAAAGGATTGGTGATGTGCTGGA